TCTCTTATTCTATTTTAAAATAGTTTAAGTTGCTTTGGCAACCAGCTATATTGTTTTCATTTTTTGTAAAAGTATCATTCAGGTAGGAAAATATATTTGGAAGTGGAGAGTGAATTTGTAAGATTAAAGGATAATCTGCACATTGGGAAGTGCACAGGATGAGTTTAAAGGAAATGGCTACCTTTGAAATAACCAACTAATCTTTGTTCACCATATCCTCCCCTCTCTCATTGTTCATATCCCAAATGTGATACTTAAAATTAATGTTACTTAAAATTGAATCCAGGAATAGCAAGGCTCTATAGCTTGGAACTTGAGAGGGTAGGAATAATAAAAGAACTTCTGTATAAGAATCCTTTTTTCCACTTTCACTTTGCTTCATGCTCTTTCATGGCAACTGTTATTTTCCAGATAGCCATTCAGCAGTCCTCAAATATGATCTAATAGTTTGCTTATATTTTATCTGTCTCCACATCTCTTCAGAAGTAAATTTAGATCCGTGGTATCAATTTTTATTTGTAGACATCAATACTTAGCAGGTATAAGCAAAATCAATAAGGAATATAAGTTCATCTTGTGATTAAACCTGTAACCATTTTGTCATTACTTTTATTTCTGTAGATAATGATTATTGCCATCATTTCTTCTATTTAATTCTCCTAAGCTAGAAAGCCAGGATGAAGTTAATGAAGGTTTTTTTTTTTTTCATCATTTTGATTATTTCTGGACCATGAGATCACTGTTGGTGATTAAAATATCAGAGGCAAAAATTAATTATTTGATTTTATACAAAGCCACATAGTAATTTTTAACTTATTAAAACTAAGTAGTTTTGAGAATATCTTTGTAAATCATGTTGCATTGTTGACTCGAGAGATGCTGATTTTACTCTTAATTTTGTGAGTAATGTTGGTTTAATGTTTCCTAATTTTCAAGTTTTGCAGTCACGGAGATACAACAGTCACTGGACGTGGAGGGGTGTTAAAGTGCATTCATTTTTGAGCTCAAAGCAGTTATGGTACTTGTCCCAAAGGTGGAACTTGGAAATAAATACGTATCTTTATTTTTATTGTTTTATCTATTATGGCATACTCTTGTGGTGACAATGACAATATTAAAAAATCAGATATATGAAAGGTCTTCAAAAAGTTCATGGAAAGGTTCATATTATCTTTCAATTATTTTTCCATGAACTTTTTGAAGTACCCTTGAGTGCACTATTTTATAATTAGTTAAATTAAGAAAGAAAGAAAATTGCTCACTTTGAAATCTTGAGGGAAAAATCTCTTGACCTAGTTCATTTTGATGAATTGCAAATATCTAATCATTTAGTATATAATCACTAGGTATGGTTTAACTGTCTTCACACATTTCAAAAACAAATCAGGAAGTTGAGATCTTGTGGAATCTGAGTAAGTATCAACAGGTAATTTGTGTTCATTTTTCTCTTTCCATGTTCCTCAGCTTTGCTTTCTTAATTGAGGAGTATGTATTAAAAATATATACAAAAGAATACATAAAATATAAATATTTTAAAGTAACTACCTATATACCTACCATTCAAGTTAATAGAACATTGACAGCAGCCCAGAAACTCCTCAGCTAGTCCCTTCCTAATGGCAATCACCCACACACCCTTTGCTGAATACCAATATCCTACCTTTTATGATAACTATTTCCTTGTTTTTATAGTGTTACCACCTATGTATGTAAACCTGAACGATATAATTTACTTTTGCCTGTTTTTGAACTTTATGTAAAAGATTTTTTGTAGCTTCTTTAGCTCAACATACTGGTTATAGCTGTACTTCATTCTTCATCATTGCTGTGTAATTTACCTCTGCATTAATATATGAGAATTTATTCATTTTTTTTCCAGAAACATCAGTATACAATTTATTTATTATTTAATTGAAAGATAAATTATTGCACATATCTGTGGGTACAAAGTTGACTACCAGTAGTTGTGTACAATGTGTGGTCAAATCAGGATAGTTAGCTTAATCATCATTATAGTACGTAACCATTCTTTGTGTCTGTTAACCAATTTCTCATTAATTTCTTACTAACCCCCCCCACCTCTAGTAACCACCATTCTGTTCTCTCCTTCTAAAAGTTCAACACATTACTGTGATTGTTGTTTCTTTCTCTTACTCTTTCTTATTGTTTATTTATGAATTCAGCTCCCACTTAAAAGTGAGATGTGGTACTTCTCTTTCTGCACTTGGATTGTTTCACTTAGCATAATTTTCTCCAGGATCATCCATATTTATTCGTTCTATTGACTGTGGACAATTGGAATGTTTTTAGCATGGCGCAATTACAGTTCCACAATGAACATTTATATTACATATTTTCTGGTGCAAACGAGGTATATATCTAGGAGTGGAATTGCTTGGTCATAGGTATTCATATCTTAAGTTTTAATAGATAATTACAAAGTTTTTCCTGAACATTAGAGATGTTCTGTTTCTCCATTTCTTGGTCAACACTAGTGGTAACAGCTTTTTAAAAATTTTGCCTGTCTGTTAGATGTGCAGTTGTATCTCATTGAAGTTTTATTCTGCATTTCTCAAATTACCGATGAACTTGAACACCTTTTCCTAAGTTTACTGGCCACTTCAACTTTCTCTTCTTCAAAATGTCTTGTCAAGTCTGTTGCACATTTTTCTGTTGTATTGACAGTACTTTTCCTCATTGATTCATAAAAGATCTTTATAAATCCTGTTCTTTACTGGCTATATAGTTGCAAATACCTTCTCCCATTCTATGGCTTGCCTTTCCCTCTATGATGTTTGATTTTTAAAAAAATTCTTTTTTTTTTTTTGCTAATGGTTTCGTACTGAGAAGTATATTTTGTTTTAAGTTTGCTAATAGTTAAGTACTGAGAAATATATTTTGTTTTAAGGTTAGGTTTCTTGTGGGTTGTTTAAAAAATCATTCCCTACCCTACAGTCATGAAGATACTCTTCTGTATTGTCTTCTAAAAGCTTTAGTTTTATCTTTCATATTTTTTTTATTCACAAGGAATTAATTTTGTGTATGCCGGGAGGTTCCTCACCACCATTTACTGAAAAGTCTGCTCTTTTCTGTCTTTTCAATAGTGCCACCAAAGTCATATATTCATATATGTATACATCTTTCTGAATCTTTTCTACCCTTGTGCTAGTATACTTTCTTCATCACTGTAGCTGAGATATTCTAGGTACTTGGTAAAATAAATCCTCCCAATTTATTGTTCTGTAAGAGTGTCTTAGTTATTCTTAGGCCTTTGTATTTTCAGTTCTCAAATTTCTAACTGCAGACCTGAAAATCTGTCACTCTTGTGGTTCCCAGTTCTCCTGCCAAAATTTTCTATCTCTTGTCTGTGGAACATGAAAAGCATAATTGGGGCTGGCCAGTTAGCTCACTCAGTAAAGCTGATAACACCAGGGTCAAGGGTTCAGTTCCTTATCACCCAGCCAGCCGCCAAAGGAAAAAAAAAAAAAAACAATTATTTTATAGGCTGTGTGTAATAACTCCAGCATCTAAAACCCTCTTGTGGGTCTGTTTTTATTTTTCTTTTGTTTCTTCTAGTCCTCCTTCTTACTGTCTTGTCACCTTGTGTGTCTGGTTATCTTATTTGCCAATATTGTATTTACTATACATTACAATACAATAAAAACTGTAGAAATAATTTGGTGCCCAGGATAATATTTTCATCTTCCAGAGTTTTTTCATTTGCTTCTGCCACGTACCTGGGCACTAGTAATTTAGGGTCATTTTGGTCCTTTTTCAGAGACTGAGATTTTCTGGGTCTTCTATGTGACTCAAACCTAAGCTAGACTATGTTCGTGCTCTTACTTTATATTCACCCTTACTTCTAGGGTACAATCCTTCAGGGTTCCAAAATGAGTTGGGGTTACCAGGGCCCCCACTTCTTAACTGGCCTTAGACTCTACATTTGAATCCCTCTCTCTGCTCAGCTTCTCAGTGGCCTCTTGCAGATCTGCAGATGTTCCCAGGACACAGGGTCCTAAATGAAGAGTTTAGCTTTCTGAACCTCTCTCTTCTCCCAGATAGTAGTAGCTTGGTAATTATTCATTAACTTATTAGCTCTCTGATGCCTTCCTACTTTTTTCTAAAATATATTCTAACTTTTCTATATGTTCTCAAGTGAGAATATTAATCCAAATTGCGTAATTTACATTATTCCCTAACTGCTCATTACGTGTAAAATGTAGTTGATTTCTTTGTATTGCCTTTGTACCTGAAAACTTAATAAACTCTCTAATGATTCTTGTTATTTGCACATTTTTTTCCTACATGAACTTAATTTCAAGTAGGGTCAGTTTAGTCTTTTCTAAGATCCAAATTCTAGTTTTGTTGATCTTTTCTATTGTATATTTCTTATTCCATTAATTTCTGCTCTCAGCAATATTGTTTTCTATTTTGTGTGTTTTGGTATATTATTAATGTTCAGTTAAAATATTTTCTACTCTTAATAGAATTTTTTCTTCCAAAATGGGGCTTTTCTAATCTTTTTTGATTTAAGGTTTGGATTGGATTTTGGTCAAGAAAATGATTTTTGTGATTTTATTCTTTTAAAATTACTTACGATTCACTCTATTGCCCAGACAGAATATGGCAATTTTAATAGTAATTTAGGCACACTTAAAAACAAGTTGTATTCTATCTGTAGTTATTAGGGGTAGTGTGCTGCACATGTCTATTAGATCAAGTTTATTAGTTATGTTATTAAATATATATCCCTACTGAATTTTTTTTTTTTTTTTTTTTTTTTTTGGCTAGCCAGTATAGAGATCGAACCCTGGACCTTGGTGTTATCAGCACCATGCTCTAACCAGCCTTACTGACTTTTAATATACCTATTCTGTCAGTTACTTAAAGAAGTGTATTAAAAATCACCCTGTATGATTTTCATTTGCCTCTTTTTGTTTCTTCTTTATATATTTTGAGGCTAAATTGTTAAGTGCATGTAAATTTTTTAACATGTTATATTTTGCTCGTGAATTATCTTATCACTATGAAGTATATCTCTGTATTATGTTTTACCATAGTCTGTTTTCTGTGTAGCTATACACAGTTTTCTTTTGACTGGTATTTTCATGGAAATGGATAAATTTCATCTATTTCCAGTAACAAAAAACATGGGGTATTTCATAGGGTATTTGCTTTGGAAAAGGGCTTCTCCTAGTACATTTCATGTCTCTGGCTTCTAGCTGGATAATTAAAATGACTTATATTTGATAAATTGGTAAAACCAGATTTCAACAATATACCTATTGAGAGTTTTGGGGGGGACTTGGTAGGATTTAGGAGAATTAATGAATTTGCTGTGGAAACTGTATAGGAGAAACGTATTTAATTGACTCCTAGGGAAAGAAAAACTCCATTTAGAAAATACTATGTGTTTTCAACTGTCAGTGCATGAGAATGTGTATATTTACAATATATACCCCCACAGGCACTGGTTTCATTCTGCTAAGATAATGAAGTTGTATGCTGCAATGTTTAATTCTGGTGTCCAAGTGAGTGACTTGGTATAAGGATCAGAAGAATAAAGTTATTTCTCTTTAATAATGAGATCTTCCTTTTGAAAATATAAATTACCAATATACATTGAAGATAGTTTTCACATTTTTATTTCATGCAATGTGTGGGTTTTTCTTTAACTTCTCACTTCTCTCTTCTATGTTGGGTTCTTGGCCTAGAAAATTGCAGGTGGAAAAACTTGATTAATTAAAGAACAAATATCGAGGAACAAGATGGTTCTTTATTTTCAAAGTGAGCTATTTTTGTGCTTGCGCCTGGGACATTGGTGGTATGTTTAATAAATATTAGGTAATACTGAATATTCAGATGCTTTTCAATTTTTGTCCTGAACCTGTAACTTGGTTCCTAATACATTTTTCTCTAGGAAATATTTTTCTCTTCCTCTTTAGCTTAATACCAGTTTCCTACCATACTATATTTTAAAGTGGCTTTTAAACTGCCAATTTCCGAAGTTGGGAAAAATAGATTAAGAAAATATCTTTGATCATACTGGTTCCATCATTGCTCTTGCCCTCCGGAGTTAGAAAGCTGAATGCTGACATGAGTTAACTAGGATCAAAGAAAATCTTGTTTTCTTTTAAACAGTATTTTATTATAAACACAACACATTAATTTTTTCCAAGTCTCCATATTTGAACTCTTAGGTGCTTGACAATGCCCATTGCCCAACTCAAGACAAATTAAAGCTAATTGCCCTAGCAGTTCCACTGTGCCCCATCAGCTATGAGTCCAAATTCCTGAAACAATTCTAGGATTCTACAAAGTTTCCTTAAAACTTAGCATTATTTGTCCAGGTAAGTTTTGACTTTGTGTAGTTTTTCTTAGAAAGTCCTATTTCTGTTCTCATTCACTTTTTTTTTTTTTTTTTTTTTTTTTTCTCATTCACTTTTTTTTTTTTTTTTTGTCTTTTTTGTGACCAGCCACACCGCACTCAGCCAGTGAGCGCACCGGCCATTCCTATATAGGATCCGAACCCGCGGGTTACTGCGCTCCCAGCGCCACACTCTCCCGAGTGCGCCACGGGGTCGGCCCTCATTCACTCTTTTAATTTATTTTGCTATCTTTCTCCTTTTGAAAGAAAATACATTATAGAATATATGCTAATTATTTGAAGTCTTTCTCCACATGCCCCTCCAATTCCAACTGTTCTTATATCATTTCCTAGTCCTTACAACAAAGGAATCTGAAATGCAGGGAGGTTGAGTAATTTGTTCTTGATCACGAAACAAACTGAATCAGTTCAGTCACATAGCAATAGCAATCCAGTTGTCTGTGTCTTTTTTTTTTTTTTTTTTTTTTTTTTAAAGATGACCGGTAAGGTGATCCGAACCCTTGACTTGGTACTATCAGCACCACGCTCTCCCAAGTGAGCCACGGGGCAGCCCCAGTTGTCTGTTTCTAAAATCATTGACATTTTACATTAACAGCCCATTTTGATTTCTTTCTATTGTCTATTTTTTTTTCTTTTCCTGGCCCTGCCATAAGGGTGGCCCCTAGTCAAGGTGCCACACTGTGGCAATGGCAGCCTGGGCACCTAAAATCCCAAAAGAAAATTCATGCTTCTGGCAAGAGAAACCAGGAAAAGTGGACTCAAAAGAGTGGTGTGGTGGAAAGAAAGTTGAAATTACTTTTTTCTTTCTTTAAACTTCTTTAGAGGGATTATGCCACCTCAGTCTCACAGAACTGCATGACAGCACAGATGGCTACATCACTTAAGAAGCCCCAATTTTCTAGCTAGAAGACTAGGAAAAGGATCCTTGGTAGCTGTTGAGTGTGGGGGAAATCCCAGAGGTGAAAGCTGGAAAACAGTATCCCATAGTTCTATGTATTAACTGACTTGACACAAGTTCCAGGCCTACCGCTGAGCTGTGCATGCCCAGAACAGGTACAAAACAGCAAAGGCTTTGAGAATTAAACTAAGATATTAACTACTGCCCAAGTCCCAGGCTAATAATCACTGAGATACAGAGACCCAAAGCAGCACATAACAAAAGCTTTGAAAATTTAACTGATAATGGAACTGCTTCCCACAGAAAAAACTGGTTCGATCTAATTAGGATGATTGCCTGCTTTTAAAAAAGCTCCAGAGACGGGCCGGCCGGCCCCGTGGCTCACTCGGGAGAGTGCGGTGCTGACAACACCAAGGCCACGGGTTCGGATCCTATATAGGGATGGCCGGTTTGCTCACTGGGTGAGCGTGGTGCTGACAACACCAAGTCAAGGGTTAAGATCCCCTTACCAGTCATCTTTTTTTTAAAAAAAAAAAAAAAGCTCCAGAGGATTTCAGTATTACCTAGGGACTCAGGACAATATTCAAAATGTCCAAAATACAATCCAAAATAGCTTGATATACAGAAAGCCAGAGAAGTGTGACTAATTCTTGAGGGCAAAGACAATCCATACCAACACTAAGATAACTAAGGTACTGGAATTATCAAAGACTTTATCAGCACCGCAATCTCCTGAGTGAGCCACAGGCCGGCCCTTATCAAAGACTTTAAAGCAGCTGTGCTCTGTGAGGTTTTCATAAACACTCTTGAAAAGAACAGGAAGACAGATGTTCTCAACAAAGAAGAAATTTTGATGGAAATTGGCTCATGATTATGGAGGCGAAGAAGTCCCACAATCTGCCCTCTGCAAGCCACCTTATGTAAATGCTGAAACTTCACCCTTTCTGTACAGGGGACATGGAGATAGGGAGTTGCTTTCAAGTCACAGAAGAGTTAGGCAAAGGGAGAACAATATCAGCAAGCTGGAGAAACAGGAAAGCTGAAAGTTTTATTCAGTCGGAGTCTGAAGGCCTTAGAACCAGGGAAGCCAATAGTGTAACTCCCAGGCAGAGGTCAAAGGCCTGACAACTGGGGGTGGGGGCGCACACTGGTATATGTCTCTGGGCTCAGAGGCCCAAGACAAGGAGCTTCTGTGTCCTAGGGCAGGAGAAGAAGGATGTGCCAGCTCCAGAAGAAAAAAATTCATCCTTCCTCTGCCTTTTTGTTCTATTTGGGTAGGCCTCCAGAGATGGGATAGTGCCTGTTCAAATTGGTGAAGGTGGATCTTTATTCAGTCTACTATTCAAATGCTAATCTCTTCACATCCTCACAACACTCCCAGAAATAATGCTTTACCAACTGTCTAGGTATCCCTTAGCCCAGTCAAATTGACACACTAAAATTAACCATCTACTAACATAAAAACACACATGGACCAATTGAGCAGAATAGAGAACCCAAAAATTAACCTATGTATTTACAGCTAACTGATCTTGGACAAAGATGCCAAGAACATACATTGGGGAAAGGACACCCTCTTCAATAAACAATGCTGGGAAAACTGGATATCCATGTGTAGAGTAATAGAAACTAGACACCTATCTCTCACCATATACCAAAATCAACTCAAAATGGATTAAAGAACTAAATATAAGACCTGAAACTAAGGCCAGCCTGTGGCTCACTCGGTAGAGTGCGGTGCTGATAACACAAGGCCACGGGTTCGGATCCTATATAGGGATGGCCGGTTTGCTCACTGGCTGAGTGTGGTGCTGACCTCAAAATGGATTCAAGAACTAAATATAAGACCTGAAACTAAGGCCAGCCTGTGGCTCACTCGGTAGAGTGCGATGCTGATAACACAAGGCCACGGGTTCGGATCCTATATAGGGATGGCCGGTTTGCTCACTGGCTGAGTGTGGTGCTGACAACACCAAGCCAAGGGTTGAGATCCCCTTACCAGTCATCTTTAAAAAAAAAAAAAAAAAAAACTAAAACTCCTAGAAGAAAACGGGGAAACTTTATGATGTGGAACTGGGCAAAGACGTTATGAATAATGCCCCCAAATCATAGGCAACAAAAGAAAAAATGGGATATATCAAATTTAAAAGCTGCACAGCAAATGAAACAATAGGGGAAAAAGACAACCTACAGGATGGGAGAAAATATTTGCAAACTATGCATCCTACAAGGGATTAATATCCAGAATATACAAGGAATTAATTGTAAAAAAAACAAATCATGTGATTTAAAAGTGGGCAAAGGAGCTGAATAGACATTTCTTGAAAAAAGACATACAAATGGCCAAGAGGTATATGAAAAACTGCTCAACATCACTAATAAGAGAAATGCAAATCAAAACCACAATGAGATATCTTACCCCCAGTTAGACGGGCTGTTATCAAAAAGAAAATAACAAATGCTGGCAAGGCTGTGGAGAAAGAGGAACCTTTGTACACTGTTGGAGGGATTGTGAATTAGTATAGCCATTATGGAAAACAGTATGGAGGTATCTCTACAGATAGAACTATCATACTATCTAGCAATCCCTCTACTGGTTATACACTCAACAGAATGGAAATCAAAATGTTGAAGGGATACCTGCAATCTCATGTTTATCACAGCTGTAGTCATAATAGCCAAGATATGTAACCAACCCAAATGTCCATCAATAGACACTTGGATAAATATGTGGTATACATACAGAATGGAATACTACTCAGCCATAAAAAGGGATGAAATTCTGCAATTTGCATCAGCATGGATGAGCATAGAGAAAATTATGTTAAGTGAAATAAGCCATGCGTGGAAAGAAATACCGCATGTCCTAACTTACAAGTGGGAGTCAAAATATAAAATAATAATAACAAGTTGAACTTTCAGAAGGAGAGAGTAAAACTGTTTATTAGAGGTGGGAAAGGGAGAGGAGGATAGTGAGAGGTTGGTTAATGGACACAAAATAGATAGGAAAAATAAGTTCTATTGGTGTACAGTCAAGCTAGCCATCTATAATTAATAATTTATTGCATGTTATCAAATGACCAGAAGAGAGGAGATTGAATGTCCTCATGACAAATGATTAAATTTGGTAATGGTGAATATACTAATTGCCCTGATTTGATCATCACACATTGTACACATGTATTGAAATTGAAATTCAACTTTGTACCTTACAATTATGTATAATCAATACATTTCAACTTTTAAAAAAAGTGATAATTTTAAAAAGAAATAGAAAATTTAAATACCAAGCATTTTCAAAACAAAAATAAAAAATCTGAAATTTATTGAACAGGGTCAGAAGTTCTTCACATTGAAATTGGGGGGGGAAAAAAGCAACAGGAATACTAAACATCTGGATAAAAATAGACTTTTTCTCTTATAA